AAAAAAAGGGATGATGCTAGGGGTGAGGGGGTGGCTTTTCCAGTAAGTTTAAATAAGCCATAATGCTTGCCCCTTCCAACATAAATTGACGTGTTTTTGGATTTTTCCTAAATACCAGTATTACAAAAGTTATTAAAGGTGGATACTTTTATCTGAAAAGCACTGTATATTATTTCTTTCATGCGTTTCCATTTTATTGTCTCCAAATATTGAAAAAATAGACAGAAAATGCCATCGAATGAATAGTGATTATATACAGGTTGTCTCTTAATTTCTCAAAAATTGTATTTTCGTTCATTAGAACAATTAGGATTTTTTTACCTTTGCCGTAGTGAATTGCTCCATATCGGTATTGCAAATGATGAAAGCAACTTCATAACATTCTTCCACAATTCTTCTCAAACGTGGATCATACACTTGCATAAAATTGGCACTCATAACTTCGAATGGTGATACAGATACAGACATTGTTGTAGACGATATGGTTGAATCATTGCTGCGCTCAGATATATAGGTCGAATCCCACTTGAGAGGGGGAATGTTCTAGAAAATCATTTTCGAATAATCACATGATGTTACCTGTTGAACGTTATCAAATTAATGTTCTTTCGATACCGAATGTTTATAACATTAAGAATTTTAATGGCCTGTTGAAAAGATATGGTTCCCTGTGCCTTGGTACCATTATTATCAACAGATGTTCGGATATATAAAATGAAAATCGTCACGATTTCACGATAGGAAAATTGTTATTGCATTGCTATATCGACAACTCGAAATTTATATTCATATTAGATTACTTTTATTCGACTGCAGAAAAATAATAAACTCGTCTGATCAATATTCGAAAACGATTCTCAATGAGAACTTTTTACCATCATCCACACAAAACTTGAGATAGTATGAATCGAAAATTTTCTTACTGAATAAACTCAATGTACACGCTAAAACTTGAGACCAGAACAGGATCGTATACAGCCGATCATAAATTCATAGTTTTTCAAAAATAATTATAATCATTTCTCTCGTCGTTTTCATTAAGGTAAAGTGGGGCAAGTGTCGCCGTAATTTTCATTAGTTGGAAATTATTTGAGTCCATCTAATGAACCTCAAGTAATGAAACAATGAAATTCTGCACGTATTCACTTCTAATGTCAACTTTTATACTACGCCACAGAGAAGTATTAATAAAAATATAGCATAGATGATGTTATTAGCCCAACAAAATGTTTGATACATTTTCTGGTTCTATACTCCACCAAAACCCATTCATCTAAGGATAGCTTCAGCTTTGTATTTTCTTCATACTGTTCACCTCCCTTCTCTCCCTTCCCTCTTTTCTCTCCTTCCTGTCGGTTATCTCCTTCCACCCCTTCTTCTACCCCTTTCTCTTCTTATTCTGCTTCCCCTTCTTCCATTTCAAATATCTCAGGGTCTAAGTCATCGTCGGAGTTAGCGTAAATCACATCATCTGATTCTTCTGAATACTCACTGCTTGTACTTATACGGGATTTTTCTCTTTTTCGAGACTTTCTTAGGAACTACTTCCTTGATTCCATTATTTCTTTTCTTCGGTCGTTTTTGCGTTTCATTTTTTGATTTCGTTAACCTCTCTTTCTCTTCGTCAATGAGTCTCTGAATAACTTCAGGGTGAGTTGTGACCTCCGCACCATTTGCGACTCTTTTTCTCTTAGAAGAACGTGGTGTTGTCGTTTGTTTTACCGTTCTCAATAACAGTTGTTCGAACGAATATTTTGGATGAATTTCGACGGTACTGTCACTTCTCTCGATAACAGTATTATGGGCTGTGGGAGCAGAGCTGATAATATCGGTTTGTTCATTGATAGAAATAGTGTGGATAATGGCTTGATAATTGGAAGTGGATGGTACTGGTTCAACGGACCCCTGCTTATTTCTTCCATCTTCCCATCTCCTTAAAGATTCCGGATCGAATACTTCACTAGATATGACATTTTCGTTAATTGGAACAACTCCTGCTTTCTTGAAACCATTCTACATAACATCAGAATGAAGGTTTTTCCATACTGAGCCCAATAACTCTGAAAATTTCTTTTTTGGGATTTCAAGACCAATATCTTGCCTTTGCCACATGACGAGTTCCCTATCCCAAGCATCTTTAAGAGACTTGGATACAGCTAAATCAAGTGGTTGCGAGAGATGTGAGGTATGCGGAGGTAATTTAAGTATTATGATATCATTATCTCGTGCTAGCTCCACTAATTTCACATTCATATGGGTACTTTGACCATCATATATCAGTAAAATTGGCCTTTCTTGGCCTAGTACTGGAATAAGAGTTTTTTGGAAATAGTTAAAAAAAGATCCGCCTCCGTCCAACCCTTGGCACTCGCAGCATAAGCCATTCCCTTGAAACTATTCCTTTCATCAGCTATCCAGCTATCCCAAATGTGTTTTCCTTTGAAAACTATGAGTGGTGGGGCCTTCAGACCTGAAGCTGAAATAGCGGAGGGAATTGTCGTGTTTTCTCTGCCTGGTCCGCTTGTTGTTCTGGAACTAGGTTGACCACGGGCTCCAACAACTTTCGATTTTTTTGGGTCAAGTGAAAAGGACGATTCATCTAGATTCCATAATAATTCTGGTTTCAGGGACAGTTCATTGTCCTTAATTGCTTCCTCGAGGATATCAAAATATTCATAGATGACAAACGGGTCTGTCATTTTCTTTCTAGCATATTCAACACTCTGGGGTTTTTTGATACTCAAGCGATGTCTAGATTTGAATCTTAAGAACCAGTCTTCCCCAGGAAAACTGTTTTTGAAAGGTGTTTTGATATTATTAGTGATAACATATTCGGAAACAATTCGCAAAACTTCTTTTCTTGTAATTTCGAAGTCCCATTTTTTCATTATTTTGAGGGCAATTGCTAACCTCTCTTCATCTTCCAACGGTATCGCGGGTGCTCTTCCTTGAGTTCTACTAATTTTGCCTCGAACCCTCTTCATTTGATAAAAAAGAGTAGTCTTGGGAATATTATACTTTTTATGAGCACGATAAATCGTTGAAGTACCAGACTTGACCTCTTTTAATGCATGTTCTAAGGCCTCCGTGGTATATTGTTTGGCTCTCTGAGATTTTCGAGTATAATTTCGTACCATAGCTGAAAAAATATCACTATTCAGACTGGCCACATGAAACAGGTTCACACTTACCCCGACAAATAGGTCACACTATCCCCAATAACATTTTATCACGGGGCAAGTGTGACATGCATTCAAAAAATGTTTAAAGACAATTTCAAGAAAAAACGGCACTCTTATAGTCTAACTCATTATTGGAGCGGAAGAATCGTATATGAAAATGAATCCTTACCTTCGATTTCAATTATAAACTGACAGTTCGAAATATACACCACGTACTCATTTATAATTTGTAGGTTAGGAAAATAAGGAATATATTTCGAATTCACAAGATCCCTTTTCCATTTTAAATGATTGTTATGGATCCATTATGAGAATGAGCTATTCCTCACTAGATGGCATTAGGCTGTCGCCTGGTTTAGCGGGGATATTAGACAAGTTCACACTTGCTCCACCTTACCTTACTTAAATATACAGTGCATTTCTTTAATGTCCCCTCCTTTATTTTTTGGACTAAAGAAATTGAAATTTCGGATAATGACATTAATACATGAATGATTCATTTTGAAGTGAAATTGACAGACGGGTCTTGTGACACATCATTTTGAAGCTCGTCATGAATACTTCACATCCTTAGAATATGAGGTCAATATCTTCACCTAATACAAAATGGCAAAACATTTAATAATTTCTAGAAATATTCCTTTTTATCTGCCATATGACAATTTCAACATCCCGATAAGGTTTGTAGAGTTAGTTTTTGTTCATACAATTGACAAAAAATGTCACTACGGCAATGAATATCATTGTTCAGTTAGAATGTTCTCATATAGTTTTTGATTTTACTAGTAGAAAGATATCACGTCAACAATCTACAAAATGGTCAATTCTCATCACTTGGAAAAAAAATTGAAGCAATTTTTATCTACGGTGCGACGCGTAACTTTCACGAGAACGAAAGGATTTTCAATGAACGTTTTCCGAATCGTCCTATCTGTAGAAAATATTTGAGGGAACTTGTATCCAAATTCACAACTACCGGTAGTGTACATAATAAAAAGCCCCCAGTTTATCCGTCCATTCCGGAAAAACAGCAAGTGCAAATAATTGGTGAGATTCTGAACAGTCTACTTATTCCGTTGCGAATGTTGGTGAGGTGTCTTCTTCTACTGTATGGAGGCTCTTGAAGAGGAATAGGTATCATCTATACAAAATTGAAATGGTACACCAATTACCTGAAGATGACCCTGATCGAAGATCAGAATTCTGCAAAATCATAACGGAAACCATTGCAAGGCATATCATACTTATCTCCAGCATATTTGTTTTAGTGATTAATGTACATTTTTTCAACGGCAATGTTCACAGACAAAATTGTCGCTATTGGAGTGACATCAACCCTCACATTTTCCGGGAAACACATACCCAATATCCAGAAATAAATTAACGTTTGGGCAGGATTATTGGAAAATCATATTGTAGGACCTCTATTTATCGATCAAAATTCAACAAGGGAACTATATGTTGATATGCTGGAAACTACTGTCGACCCTCTCACCACTGAAACGAAGCAAACCCTAATGAATTCGATATGGATATTGTATTCCAACAAGATGGAGGACCACCACATTACTCCAGACAAGTAAGAAACTATTTGGATGGATTTGGTTGGATGGGCCGTCGGGGTCCTACAAAATAGCCAGCCCGCTCACCAGATTTGAAATGTTTGGACTTTTATTATGGGACTATTTGAAGCAAAAGGTGTACGAGACTGAACCTGCTTCAATATTGAATATACGGCAGAGAATAATAACTCACAGAATTATGAGTAGAATATCATGAAATTTCAGAAGCTTTCTTTTCAAGGTTAGTACTAACTGACGAAGTGGTGAATACAAAAAAACCAGCGCTATCTATGTGTTACGCCCGAGACTTTTCAGCCCAGGTAATATACTCATCGATAGACTATTTCGTACTCTATACATCGATGCTCCAAATATTTTTCCAATGTTTAAAATTTTTGGAATTTTGCTTCCTTTCTTTCTTTGGAAGATTCCCACATGTAACTCGTATATGCTGGCATAACTCTATCATGAGCGAGACGATAAACATTTGTATCAAATTGATCTGATGACTTCTCTAACATTACATCAAGGAAAGGGAGTCGACCATCTTGTTCAATCTCTATTGTGAACTTTATTGTCGGATCATCAGGTAGGTTCCCAGTGGTTTACTGAAGAAATAATTTGAACAATCGAAGAAAAGAAGAGATATAGAAGATTAGGTAAAGTATCAGATTCTTTTGAAGACAAATACGTATAAATAAGAACAACGTTGAGGAATTTAATTAAATCAGAATGAAGTAGGTATAACAACTTTATACTTATGATGCACTGTTTGGAACCTTTCGTGTAGTAATGAATATTACTGGAATTTTTTCCCAACACCAAGTCGTTATTTTCAACACCTCGACACGTGTTTCGATCACCAAGTGATCATCTTCAAGAGGAAGAATAAACTGTTGAGTTTTGGAATTCAAATCTTGGGATTTATTCTAAGCCAAGCATTGGCTTCAACAGTATTTGTTTCGCCAATTTTCTTCAAACTACCAAAAGTTGCTTTACTCGAAATTTTCCATCGCACAAACTAATACTCCGACAGCTGTGAGAATTGTACATGTGTCTTTTCGAAGTTAACTTGAAGTCATATGGATTTAATACTAGTAGCGCCGTCTGTGTGTTATTCTACGAAGTTTTCAGCATGACTGATATGTATATTGAAATTATTAAGTTTCAAGTTAGATTTGAATTATCCATATAATGAGACTGAATAAGTGTGTTTGGTCTGGATTATTGGTAGTAAATAACAAAACTCATAACATTACCACACGATAACAATATATATAAAAATCGATTTTAACCTAAAATTATATTCAAACAAATGTAAATACATTTAGAAATATCTTTCAATCATATCTCCCGCTACATTTTTATTCTACAGAAAATAAGCATATGATCAACTGTTTTCGTGCACATGTTTGTTTTCTCTTCAAGTTTTTCAAAAGATGGAAATTAAGATGAGTAATGCCTGATGACTGAGTAGTATGTTCTGTCTCCGCCATTATTGTACTAACGTCCCCCACTACTGCCACCTCCACAACAACAGCACACCAGAAGAAGTGTTACTCCCACAGTTACTGAAAAATTTCATATTTATAATTATTGTAAAAGGAGGGAGCTCACAAACAATACTGACTTTAGATTGGTGGGTCGAAATTAATAAAAAAATCGATCTATGAAACACAGAAGTTGAAAATACTCAAATCTGCAACGGTATTTGTATGAATCGAAATGTAGTGATTGTTGAGGTTGTAAAAACTTTTTTTCGTCAGAGTGGTATCTATTTGGAAGCCATTTTTCGGGTTATTTTGCCATGCTCTGCAGATTTTCATGCACAACGTTTCGTTTACTACTGCTATAGACAGAATAGACAGAATCAAAGGCGATGTTGTAACGGTCGCAGTGCTCCAGTTGGTGATACCGTTGTTCCGAAAGCATGAACTTACGACGCTAGTATTTGATTCTGTTTTCATTATTTTATATTGTTACTAGTGGAAAACCTGACCTTGTTTGTGAACCTTCAAGGTAGCTATATTTTAATAATTTTCTCCACCTCTTCTTTTCTATTGAAATTATTGAATTTCTGTTGCCTCTCTATATACTCTTGGATACCCGTGTGTTGGGCTACCAGGCGCGTCACCAGGTGGCGGGTAGGGGAACGGCCAGAACTGGGGTCCTTGTCCGGAAAGCCAATGTGGCCTGATGGACGGGGACCCCAGTGGCAGGGTGAGGGGAACTGAAACTCACCAAAAGCTTTTGCGGAACATGCCCCCGTGCACCAGCCTACCCAAGCTAAGGTGTTAGACATCGTGCCGACAGCTGAATGGCCGTAAGGTGATATGAAGTTGCAAACGATCCCCTTGGGGAACCGGGCGTAACCTCATTGTAATCAGCCTACTTCTGGTAATGCGTGGCTCTGCTAGAGGTGACCAACTCTTCCCTTGCTACTCGTGGAAACACACATGAAATGAACAAAAACAGAAACAACAAAAACAAAAACCAATCCCGAGGCTGAACAGAAGTGCTCACCTCAATCTGAAGCGGTGGCTGGGGATGAACAGAAATGTCTACTCCAATCTACCGCTTGGAATGAAGCTGGGCATAGCAGATCACCTCGTGATGTAATACAAAGGCCAAGGCGTGAGGGCATTCGCAGCGCCGAGGCCAAAAGGAGAAAATGAGTGAAAGGGGTAGGAGTGGCAACAACTATAAGTGCACCCGCCTCCTCCCCACTCCACCTCCAACGGCAAGGGCCTTTCCTGCGGCGAATGCAAGAGCTCCGCCTTGAATAAAGGCAAGGAACCGGCAGACCCTGCAGGAAAGTGCCCTCACTTATGCACCTCCATGGAGGGAACCCTAAGATGATTGAAGGAGCCGCGAAACGACAGTAATGTCGCTGCAACATCCAAATCCTTCACGCAGGCAGCCGTAAGACACCTCAAGGTTGCCAAAGAGAGTATGTGCGAGTTTGCCGATATGAAGATGTCTCCGAATGACCTGTCCATCTCTCAGAAAAGACAGGATGGACGATGACCTAGGAGGACAACTCCTCGAGAGGATGTACACTCACCCTCCCCACTCTACAGATACAGATACTCTTGGATAGTAATTTTAAGTTTTATCAAGTGACACTGAATCTTCGAAAGGGATAATATGGATGCCTTCTTTGTTGGGAACATGCTTGTCTACAGCTGATATGTCGATTAGTCCGGGTAGACAATTTTTTTTGTGTTCAGAGAAAAGAGTACCTACACTACTTTTCGTGTTTCAAATGAAAACCGCCCGCAGCTACAAGGAACCCGGTATGCTCTGGTCGCAACTAAAATTTTCTGGGGTCCTAAGCTAACTCGTCTGATAGTTTTTGTTGCCCCAAATATTGATTTTACGTCGTGTTTCTCT